AGAGATATTCCAAATAAACAGTAATTCAGAAAGATTTTTACTTAGCAAATTTAAATACATTTTAGTTTTGATAAAATGTGATTATCTCCTTCAGTTGAGAAGGAAAAATATTTTTGCATGTATTGTAACATTTAGAAACATCTGAGTTTCCTCTTCAAGAAGCATCAATGCAGGACAAAAAGCAGATTTCAGCGTTGGGGACCAACTGAGAGCATTTTGCTACAACTTGCAATAAAGCCTCATAAAACACTAGGGCTCTGCTAATGGAATATGCCCTTAACAAATCTCCAGGAACTCTGCCTTGTTTTGCAGAAATACAGCCATCTGTTAATATCTGGAAGGGTTTGGACAAGAGACACTGCTAGAAAAAGCATGCCCTTCATGTCAGTTGCTGGAATAAAAATGAAAAAAGGCCTATGTGGGACAGCTGGGCTCTAAAGATCCACAACTGCTCAGTGTTTGAGCCTGCCTTACTTTCTCCCAAGCTCTATCTTGCTCCTACAGCTGTGATCTCTCAGCAGGATGGTTTCTATCAGGTAGCAGCAAATGCTGTGTTGGCTGCTGGCTGGCCAGGCTCCACCAGCTTCAGCAGGGAGTGACTGTGCAGACTGCTCACATCCACTGAGAAACACCAAAGAGCTGCATAAACATCATCTGCTCATCTCATCTTCCACTCCATCCCCGCCTCGAGATTCCAGTTTAAAGCAGTATTTTATTTGTATTTGAAAATTATATTTGGTCTAATAAATACATTCAGTTAAAACAAATAAACACACACACACACAAAAAAGTCGTAATTATTTTTAAAGCATCTTTTCCATTTTTCAAACAGCCACAGAAAACATCAAACATTTCAAAAAGTCAATATTAATATTGACTGTTAAATTGATATATTAATAGAAAAGCAAATAAGAGCTGGTCACATGATGACTGTGGTCTGCTATAATGATAAAGCAGTGAAAATGCCAGATATTTCAACTTGCCTGATTTAATTTGAAATGAAAAAAACACTGCATATGAAATTAGCTATATATTAGCAAAACATTATTAATGTTATGCATGTTACATTGTACTTATGTATATATACCAAATACATGTATTATCAACATACTGTGAAATGCACATTGTATATATAAACAGGATAAACATATATTAATTATATATATTTATTATATATACATTCATACATAAATATATAAATAGGATATATAGCACATAAAAATAATAGATTTTAAATAATTGTATAAATCATTCATTTTTATTACATAATCTAAATTGAATAGTATATTCAGTATATGCTCACTACATATATTACATTAATGTAAATGTTATGTTGGTAAGACACTCATTTGTATACTGGATACAAGTATCCTTTTTTTAACGCAAACCGGAAATAGGAGCAGGGAAGGATCTGAAAGAAAATTGAACAAATGGAGAACCTACCTAACAAGAGAGGATTAAACTGGTAGAATTGCTTATTCTTTCAAAATTAATGCCAAAAGATAATGCAATTGTTCTTTACATAACCGGTCAGAGAGTTAAAAGATCACAAACAGAAAATAAGTCTGGAATTAAAGAACAATAATAGCATTAATTAAATATATGTAACCTCTTCACTAAATCTGGGGTGATAATTAGAACCAATTTTTTTTAACACTGGAGAAAACTTCTCTGAAACAATTCCTTACTTTTTGACAGCTTGGTTCAGAATGTTTTAGAAGACAAAATCTCGATGTTTTTCAGGTATGCACATGAACTATCTCAGCTGCATTTCATCCTCCTGAAACAGACACCAGCTCTTTAGGGGATAAATGTGACAGTGCCAGTCCCCCTCCCTTTCCCTTATCCAAGATGGCTTTGGAGCGGGCTCTTTCTGCCCTCAGCTATGATGGCTAGCATAACATTTTCAAGGACTTCCTGCCCAGAAAAAGGAGGGACACAGTTGGCTCTTGCTGCCCTTACCTAACATGGCTGCGAGGTGCTCGCCTCCTTCGCTGTGTGACAGCGTTCGCAGAAACGAAGCAGGAGCTGACACTTCCCTCCTCCTCCTCCCTTTTCTCCTCCTCCTCCGAGCACAGCAGCCAAGCACTTCACACCAACTCCTCACCCACCTGCTGCTTTCCACACTTCTGGGATGGACACTTTCTGGTAAGCAGCAGACACCTCAAAAAATACCCATACAATAATTGTATCCTCATTTGAGAATGCAACTGCTTTCTGTAGTTTCATCTTAGCCTTTGACTCTGTCCAGATAACTTCTGAACTCATCAGGCAATTTGAAATAGGAGCTGAAAAGCCTGAGGGATAACTACACCCACGCAGCTCCACTGAGAGCTGGCACTCATGCAGAGAAGGAAGGGTCAGATGAATGTCCTGGATGAGCAGTGGGTACAGCTCAGCTGTTGCATGAGCCATCTGGCAGTGCCAGAGAGAACTAGAAAGGCACCTACCATTGCCAGCTGCTTTTCTCATAGCATTGCATGAGCCTGGCCCAGTGGGATTTCTCCAGGGGATGAAGAAGGGTTCAGGAAAACAAAATATGCCAGTGGCTTACAGTTTAAATGACACAGTTATATTATATTATTATGTTATTATAAATACTTAGAACATCAGAGAAATGTATCCACTGCTCAGTTTATTATTTTACCTGATTCTCTTAGGCCCCATAGATGGTAATGGATCTTTTTCATCTCTTATTTTACTTCCAGTCTCCTTTCTGCATTAAACATGCACACAAAATATAAAAAGTGTTCTCAGAAACATTATTTTCATTCCAACACCTGTAGTACCCTTTGTCCCCACTTTTTACACTTTGCAATTCCAAAGTGCTCTCAATTATTTCTACTTTTGCAACTCATTCCCTCAAATGTAACTCCTAATGGACCTAAATTTATGCTCACTTTCTCCATCTTCTTTTTATACCTTTCCTTCTCCCTTTGATTAGTTATGGCACCTTGTGTGCCGTAAGCAACAGCCACACAGAATTTCCACTCATTAAAATAATTAGTAAGAGCAAATTATGATTATATTTATCAGAGTAGTACAATCTCATAAGCTGATGAAAGCCATGAAGTGACGTGCCAGATTTTTTTTTCCCTGTCAGGAGAATTAGAACTACGGATAAACACTTCTAAACATTCCACCTATCAGTTGTTTGTTTTTGTCTTCACAAAATCAGACTTTAATCTTGGATTTCATTTCTGTTTCAAACACAGATGCTACACAGCCTAGTTTTGCTGTCATTTTCTCACTGGATTATTGGAAAAAAACTAGTCTGTTACGAATCAACCTCCATTCCCCAAATCACAGTGCAGTCAAAAAGAAAGAAAAAAAAATTAAGACAGCCCTGAGATTTTACTGTGCTACAACTAAGAACATACCAATCATGCTTTGTGTCATACACTGCACTGCCTTACCTCGATCTCTGCTTTTCCCCTCAACCACTGCTGAAGTGCCTGGCCCAGCTGCACTCCTGTCCTCCACGGCTGCCAGCTCTTTCTGCCATCTCCCATATCCCTAATCCTAACACCCTGTCACTGGGTAATTATAGTGCTGGCATGACCCCAACACCTATCTTACATCAACAATTCCCACTTGTTTGCTTTATGGGGAATGACGGAATTAAAAATGTATTTGGACTGGAGAGACTCGTTCAACACCAGATGACCTTGGCAAGTGACCTTTCCTTGGTTTCTAGCAAAAAGGCATAAATATGACCTTGGGTGATGCTCCATGGCGTACTGAAGGAAGACACAGCGCCAGTGTCCCCACCTCAGCCCTGTCCCTGCAGCCACTGCTCCGAGTCCCCCTGCTCCAGCTGCCAACCTGCAACAAGACATGGCAAACACGGCCAGCATTGCTCCGGCCCCAGGACACATCACACCACACCGCGGTATTGAACTTGGATCATGAAACGATCAGACACGCACAGGGAAAGCAGCGTGTTCAGGAGACTCCTGCAGTTTCACATGCAAGCTCTGCTGAGAACGTGTCACCCCAGCTCCTCCTCTGAGCTCCACCCTTTCACAGAATCACAAAATATTCTGAGTTGGAATCAGATCATCGAGTCCAACTCCTGGCCCTGCACAGGGTGCCCCAAGAACCCCACCGTGTGCCTGAGAGCGCTATCCAAAAGGTTTCTGAACTGGCAGTCTTGGGGCCATGACCGCTTCTCTGGGGAGCCTATTTCAGTGCTCGACCACGCTGTGCGTGAAAAGCCTTCTCCTAAAATCCAACATAACCCTCCCCTGACACAACTTCGGGCCATTCCCTCCCCATTATGTATAAGGGCTGACGGGCCCCGCTCGCCCCCTCCCTCCCAGAGCTGAGAACAGCGAGGGCAAAGCGACGGCGCGGGGCCGGGGCTCACTCACCTCAGCGACCTGCCCCTTGCTAGCACGTCCCAGCCGTGCTCCTCCGGGTGAACACCGACCCTGTCCCCTGTCCCCTCACCCCTGTCCCCTCTCCCCTCCCGGCCTAGCCCGCCGCCCCCTCCCGCGCGCCCGGAGCGGGGCGTGACCCGCCCGTGCCGCAGCCTCACCGGGCGCAAGGCGCATGCGCGACTGCAGCCGGTGCGCACGCTGCCCGCCCCCGGCCCCGCCCCGCCCCGGCCCCGCCGCCGCGGCCACACCGGGAAGGGCTCCAGGCGCTATGGCGGCGGCTGCGCGCAAGGTAAGGGGGGAGCGGGGCGCGTCCCGTGCCGCCCGCGGGGCCGAGGAGACGCGAGGGGACGCGCCGAGGGAGGCGCCTGACCCGGTTTGTTTTGGGCCCCGCAGGTTGGAGGAAACTTCCCGCGGCCGGTGGCCTCCTGAGCGGCAGAGCGACCGAGGGGGAGCGCCCGGGCCCGGCAGCCAGGCCTCTCCCGCCGCCGGGGCAGCGGAGCCGCACTAGGCGGGCGGAGAGCGCGGGGGTGCGCAGCGAGCCCGCCTCATGCGCAGTCACCTGCGGAGGGGCTGAGCGGAGCCGCCGCCGCCGCGCCCCGCGCCGGGGGCTCCGGGCGAGCACTTCCCGGGGCAGCCCCCGCTGCCCGGCCCTGCGGAGCCGCCGCCGAGGGACGCACAACGACCCCACCACCGGCCGGAGCCGCCGCCGGGGAGCGACCTGTCAGGGCACCTCGCAGGCCGGCCCCGAGAACCCTTCCCACGCGTCGGTTTGTCCCCGGGAGAAGGCGAGTTGGGAGCCTCTCCATGCCTTATCAAGTTCCTTATCTGAGCGGCTCCCAGAAGCTGTAGAGCAGTTCAGCTTTATCTGGTGTAAGGGAGAAAAACAGTGTAGCTCTCGCACTCCATCCTGTGTCGAGGACCACCTATTCTGCTGGGGTTTATCACACGAAGATGATGAAATGCGGATTGCTGAGTGAACCATTAGGTCCCTGTTGTGAAACGAGGGCTTTGTATTCGCCTTCCAGTTCCTGATCTGTGCCGTGTGTGAGAGGACGCTAATCTTTCTCCTTCATCCCCCTTCCCTAAACCTTTCCTTGCTTCCATGTTGCATTGGTCAGACTTTTGGTCAGTGTTGTTTACGGAAGGAGGGGGGAAGAAGGCAGTTGAGGTTACAAACAAAAGTACTTGTATGACTCATTTACTTGGATTTAAGACATTGTATCCTTCTTTCACGGGGCCTTTGCTTCTCTCTGAAGGAATCAGATGCTTTTTCCTATTCTTCCAGACGAGGATGGATTGAAAGTTGTACGTTTTAGACTTTTTTTGGGCCACTGCTGATATTATTAAAAGACATAATGGGACTTTTTCACTGGATTATTGCCAGAATTAGTTTACACACTGAAACAATGAGTTGTTAGGCCTCTCATATGATAATATTTGTCCTGCTTTAATATAAAGTTGCTGTGGAGGTGTTTTTAAAATTGCGGAGGACAGTCTGCATCAGAAGAGGCTCTCTTCATCTCTGGTTGGTGTGGCAACCACAATCTGTCCTCGATGCCTTCAGCCTTGGCCATCTTCACTTGCCGCCCGAACTCCCACCCGTTTCAGGAGCGTCATGTCTACCTGGACGAGCCTGTCAAGATCGGCCGCTCGGTGGCTCGCTGCCGGCCAGCCCAGAACAATGCCACCTTTGACTGCAAGGTGCTCTCCAGGAACCATGCTCTGGTCTGGTTTGATCACAAGACAGGCAAGGTAAGATGTCCATGTAAAAACACTGAGACTGCACATTTGTTTCAGCAAGTCCCTGTAGGTTGTGGATCATTTTGGTTTTGCTGTCAAAAATGTGGTTGCATAGGACAGGAGTAAGATTTGTTTTAAAATGTTAACTTTCCAGGTAAGTTGGTAATTTCTTACTAAGCAGAAACCTTGACTATTATGAAAAGTATATGAAACTAACAGTTGAAAAGGGTTAGTTGAAAGGCCTGCATGTGTCTTATTTATGACTGGAAATAGGTGATTTAGAGGTGAGACGAGGTGCGAATGTGAAAGCACATTGTATCGTCTTAGTGGTGTCATAGTATTTTTTTCAAATGCAGAGAAATTACTGTTTTATTGGTGTGTGAAAATTGATTGTGAAGAGCGTTGAAAAATGAATTTTAAAAAGATACTGTTCTTGTTTAGCACTTTTCCTACTTGTCCTTTTGAAATTTTGTGGATTATTTTGTTTGGTTCTGATAGGAGGTTTATTACTGGCAACAGGAGTGTAATGGGTGGCATTCATTATATAGTCTTATTGTTAGTGAAAATGGTTTTAAAATACATCCTGTGTTCTTAACTGTTCCTCTCTCAAGTCTGGCAGTCTTGTTAAGCAAAATTGAGGGGTCCTGTAGTGCATCTTTTGTCCACTAGGGATTGAACTGGGACAAGTAAAGTTGTTTTACTTAATGACTGTCAAGTTAATTTTAAATATCCAGCGAAAAATTAACAAAGGGCAGACTGCAGTTGCTCAGCACTGTATTCTTTTTCGAACTATATTGGTGTTTCCCTCTAGAACTTAACGTGTTCTAAGTCAGCTGGTTTTTAGCTTTACACCAAGTCCTTCTATGAATTGCAGTCAGTGTAGCTCTGGATTTTAAGAATAATATGGTCTGTAACTCATGCAGATTTTTTCAGTAGTATGACACAGCATGAGGAGCAGCACAACGCAGTCAAAGTTCTTAAACCTTCCATTGTTAACTATCCTGTATTATGCAATACTTGGACATGATGGGACAAGACAAGCATTTAATTTCTTAAGGCTGGATTATGGCTTTCAAGTTACCTGCAGGTAATTGTGCAAACTGCTATCTGTATTAAACGTTTCATTAAGCATCTTGCTTTGGCTCTATTGTGTATGTGATGTGTGTTCTTAGATTCTAGAAAACTTAAGTGCTAGAAATACTTTCAGTGTAGTCTTTAACCTTTCTTGTTTGATTCAACAAAGTAAAATGTTCCAATTTATTGTGCTGTTTTTAAATTAGAAAGCATTATGCATATAGCTTTTTATCAACATTTCTTATGACTTGCTAAGACTGTAAGACCCCCATGTGCTCTGTTATGGTTATAAATATGATCTATCAATTTCAAGATGGTTAATTTGAGAAAGCACTGAGTGTTAAGCAAGTCTAACTGATAGACAAGATTCAAAAATGATCAGCTATGAGGATTTTTGTTTGTTTCTAAATTTCAGTTAGCTTTGTCTTCTCTAATATAGGTAAAAAATTTGTATGCTTACTCATTTATCTGTTTAAAAATAGCAATTTAGTAGTAGTAATTAAAAGGATTGTATTTGAGTGTTTTTGAGATAACGTCATTTGAAGATTTGACAGAGGTCTGGTGAAAATTGCCAAGGTGGGAATCTGTAGCCATAGTAAACAACTAAAGAATGGGTTTGTGATCATGCCCTGGAATCCACTCCTATTGCATGTTAGATGTGGTGTTGTGAAAGGTTTAAAGCAGAGGTATAGCAGTGAGGAGAATTTCAGATTTTGTGCTTTTTTGTTGGACGTAGGGACTGGTTTTTGATCTGGTTGAGTATTGGAATGGTGACTTGTGAGATGGTGGGATGGGGGAAATGCACCATTAGAGATAATAGGTATCAAATGCTGTTGTGAAAAGGCAGGTAGAATACTGATAAATACAGGCTTTATCTTGAATCACAAGAACTACTTTAAAAAATTCTGTGGTGTTTTCAAAATGCAAAGAAAAACAGGCCAGAACATTTACGTGCAGCAACATCTATTATCATTGTTTACATAACTGCTAATAAGCACATCTCATTTAGGAAATTGTCATTATCCTATCAATGACCTATATTTAAACCCCCACAAATTCTCTTTGTTAGAGTATTTGTAAACATTTCTTAGAATGTTACATATAGGACATTCATCAATTCTGGATTTTTCGAAAGGTAAAAGACCTTCAAATGTTCATTTAGTAATGAGAAAAACTCTCAGCTGTTTCAAAATAGGTTGTTAATGATCTGGGACTACAGTTTCATAAGTTGTGGACTTTGGAAATACCAGTTTCAGGCACTACCAGTCATTCAGTCCAGCCTCTGTTGCCTCTTGAGCTGCCTTTCAGTTATACTTCATTACTCTTTTTTTTTTTTTTTTTTTTTTTTTTATTCTTCCATGAGGGCTTGGAGTTTTGTTTAGTGAATCATGTTTATTTTTGTTTAGTGAATCATGAGTGATCGTGTTTACTACATAGTCCATAAACAATTTTGTCAGTATTATCTGTAAATAGGAGTAGAACCTGAAGAGAGGGAGCATTAGTAAGCTATGTCAAGGAAAGCAGTACAGAATTTTTTTCCTAAGGCAGAGGAAGGTATAAGCTGAAATAAGTTGCATAAGTAGACCAAGCTGAAGATAACATGTTACTTACAGTTGAAAGTTGTGGATGTTTATTTTGTATTAAGGCACTTTAATTATGCATGGAAAAAGTTATTTGCCCAGGGAGATAATGTGTATGTAACAACAGCATTATTAAGGTTGAAAATAGAATGAGTTTTCAAGATCACCAATACGTAGCAGTTAAAAGAAGGTACTTAAATCTGCATGTGCTTTTTAAAATATTTTAAACATAGTATGTGAGCCTAAATATGTGTATGATAAAGGTGGAAGGAGGTGGTGGTGGGATTATCTGTACTTAGACTTTTTCTGTACATAGTAATATTTTTGAAGATAACTGGTGCAATGCCTCTTCTTTCCTGTGTTTGTAGATACAGCATAATAACTCCTAGTTAACTAGTGGATTTTTCATGAAGTGATAACATTAGAATATTATAATTGGAATTCATTTTGGTTTTATTTTTTTTTAGTAATTGCAAGTTAATGAATCTGGGTTTTTTTAGAGGTGCCTGAAAAAGTGACTCACTAGATACGTAGGAAGTAGATGCTGTGCTAAGCATGGAGTGTTCCAAAAAGTGTGAATCAAAGCAAAAGAAAAAGTGGGCTATACTTCAGAAAATCTAAATGTGTTCAGCTCAAATCACTGCATATGAGAAGAAACCCTTTAAAATAGTGTAACTGAAATAATCTTAAACTTGTTTATTTCGGTTTTGTTTTCATTTCTAAAAATAAGCAAGTGGAAGACCTTTGAGAATTTGTATGTGACTTCCAGGCTGAAATGCTTCTGACAGATGTAGAAGCTTTTAGTAGAAACCTGAAGCTTCCAAACAGATATTCAGGCTTTCAAAATCTGGAATTATTCAGTCCCTGATGTTGTTGTGAGTTGCTATTATGAGCACCTCTTACAGGGAATTCATTGCCACAGTTTACCAAAGGCTCTGAGAAACTGTGAAAAATAAAGTATTTTCTTAGATAAAAAGCACCCCAAAGAACTGGTCATTTTTAATACCTGAAAAAAGTGTAGGCACAAGTTGATGTGTTAATGGAAGCTAATGCTATTGTTTTAATTTAATTCAGAGTGGATGTCAATTGAATTGAGCATGTTCATATCTTGATGATGGAAATGCTGATGAGTTTATTGAAATCCATAGTCCCCATAATAGTAAATGAAATTTGTTAGAGCTGTGCGTTATGGCTTCTAGACTTAAAATACGTGAGATAAAAATACTGCAAAATACTTTAAAAAAGCAAACACTAAACAGATTCCCCCCCCAAAAAAAAAAAATCTAAGAAGAAAACCCAAACCCAACCAATCATACCCAACCCCAACAACTCAAACCAGCCAGCCCAAAGGCACAGCCAGTTGAAGGAGATCTGAAGGACACAGTGCAGTTTCCCCTGGTGTGTTTGGGGTGGCACCAAGCCTGGCAGTGTTGCTGTGGTGGGGCTGCCCCCAGCACGGACCTGCTGTGCTGAGTGAGCGGGCAGGAGCCTCAGCACAAACACGGGGCTGCCCTGGCAAAGGAAGAACCCCTTGCAGCTTATTAGACCCTGTCTAGCATTCTGCATTTCATTTTGGACCACTAATGCAAGAAATACATTGACTAACAGGAGCTGAGATGAGATAGTCTTTTTTTGCTGTATTGTACTAGGGACTCAAGTAAATTGATATGAAAGAAAGCAAACAAAATTAGTAAAGAGGAAATGTGTTACTCACTTAACATTACATAAAATGTTTTGTGGGTATTGAGAACTTGGCATGATTCAGGAAAGCACAGAACATTTCCTTTGGATGTTCTGTTTGTTCAGAAGTATTTTAGTAAATTTGTCTTAAAAAACGAAGTGGGATATGAAAAATGTTATTTGGAATTGCAGGGTTTTGGTCAGAAGGTTTGTTTCCTGCTGCTTCCAGTAGAGAATCCTGTCTGATACTCTGGCCTGTTTAGTGCTGATCTGTGTAAAGTGTGTTTAGTTTCCCATCTATCAATAGCACTTATTTTGATAGATATCATGTCTGTTATTTGTTTTTTCCTCTATTATATCTTTCTGACTTTCTGTTAGGATTGTTGTCCGAGAGATGAACAGATGTTTTATTTTTCAGTACTCCTGATGTTGCTGTATGCTTACAGTCTGCAGTGGAGACAGTGTCTTCAAAACATTGAATATTTGTTCCAACAGCCCTGGGGGACTGAGCTGGGATTTGCTGTAATGCACTAAGGTGAAACTCCAGTGCTTAGGTGCTTCTGCTAAGAGGGTGATGGCAGGCAGCCCTCACATACACCTGGTAATATTTTTATGTAAGTGCTTTTCACCCTGAATGAACCATCCAATTTTATACTGATATGATCATGAGAATAGTAT